GTTTACAAATTGTATGCTGAATAGTGAGATTCACCTTCAATCCCATCTCTATTGTATGCTCATGGATGATGAATTCTTTCCAAATGTGTTTATTTTGTCTCTTATTCTTCTCACATTTCTAATGACATGAATTTTGTGAATGTACGATTAATTATATGTTTTGAATTGTAATTGTGTGATTTGAGGTTTACATTTTTTTTAATTCCTTGATCATTCCTCTATTTTTCTCCATTCCCTATTAAATCACATCTCCCAAACACACCATTAGGAATTCTTTAACTAATGGGATGTCATTCTCAAGTCTCACGAAAAAAGGATAATGTATACTTGAATATTTTAATTAAAGAAATTCTAACTTGATTGACAATCATAACTCTACACTCTTACCCTTTTTAAAGACAACATTTTAACAAGATAGGCCAATATAAGATGGTTAAAAGATAATCATTCTATACTAAGGATTATGTCTAGTTGATTAAAAGGCAAAAAATCAAGTCAACTATAGATTTTTAACTAGCAATTGTAAAGGACATAATAAATAGGAAATGAAAATATAAATAAGACTACTAGTTGAAGTTGCATCAATAAGGTAATGAATTAGGAGATGGCAAGAAATTGAATTTGACAAACAAGCAAGTGACATGAAGGAACAAATATTGTACAAAAATAAAAAGTACAACTAAAAAGCTTAATATCACACAAATAAGGATTTTCCAATAGTCTTCACATGAATAGAAAGCAAGCATCATCTACTGCCACTAGCATCCACGCTCACAACTTGAGTGATACGACTAACTACCACTACTTCTTAAGCAAAAGGTATCCAACAAGCAAATCAATAAAGGAGTCAAAACAAATAAATATATCACAACATATAACCAATCAAACATCTGAGTACACATAGAACACGCATTCATGACACATAATACATACACTACAAGAAATTTTAAAATTATAGACGACCAAAATCCATAGGTAATCCAAAAACTCCTTGGGTAACACTTCATTTCTGATAGATTACAGATGGACAATAATTCGTCGATAAATTGCTTGTCTGAAACATTTACCGACGGATTATAATCCGTGGGTAACTTTTCGACAGAATTACCCACGGATTTTACCCGTGTGTAATTAGTTACCACGGATAAAATATGTGAGTATTGTTGATAATATTTTTAAAAAATTATTTCAAAATTATATTAAATAACATCCTTATTTAGTGCAACATCCCTCATATTTGACCTTTCAGCAGCTCCACTCCATAACACTTCACACAACTTCTCGTTGGTCAGAACCCTTCACCAATCAAAACCCTCATGGGTAACCCTTTTTTAGATATTTTTCCGCTTTTAGGATCAAAGATTGACCCCACAAATCCCACAAATCAACACAAGACTTTTTAGCTTGTCTTGTCGTCACTTGTGCATTAACTGTGAAGTTCTTAAGGAATAAGCTACGAAAGAAAGAGTAGATGCATCTCATTGGTATAAATAGTATAAATTAATTCCTTTAAGTCATCTTCAACTATACAATCTCATACTTGTACAATCTTTGGATCCTCTCATTCCAGTATATTTCAAGAATTATAATATAATATAATACTATAATTTTTATCTAAATTAAAAATATTAATATTTTAGTTTGTGTATTTCACAAGGTACATTTTTATTATATATAATTAAAATTTATAATAAATTATATATAAAAATAAATATTATAGTTAAATCAATAAATCATATTTAAAATTTGT